GCTTCATTCAGAATTCGCCGGACACCCCGGAGCGTTCGACGACGGGGGGCTTTGGCTCTACAAGCCAGAGTGGTACGAAACGTATCTCTCGTTTGGCTCGAAAAAAGTCGTCGCCGCCACCGCGAACGAATGAACGAGCGAGCGAGCGAATGAACGGACGGACGGACGGACGGACGGACGAACGAACGAACGAACGAACGAACGAACGAATGAACGAGGCCGCTATCTCCCGCCTTTTTTCCGCGTCGTATAACGGACATTCGATATAATTCAATGGCAAGGACTGTCTCTCTCTCCACTTTTCTATAGAGACCGCGGACGCGGACGAGTTCGAGGGTTTCGAGCTGACCGTTCTCATTCGGACAGGTAGGTGGGAAAGCGTGGCAGAAACGAACCACGCGAATTTCACGCTCGAACTTCCTCTGATTAAAAATTCGCGCGAGCGAAAGACAACTTCGGGCCGCACGGGAGGAAGCGGCGTAGCAAGCGCGCGCCACACGCACAAAACGCACTCGCACGACCGCCGCACGGCACACATATGAATCCCTCTCTTCCTTCCGCAGCCCGCGCGAGCTTTTTTCTCGTTTCTGCCGAAACGACGCGCAACAATGGCTCGTCCGCGTCCAACTGGACGAGCCATGCCGCTCCGCGGCACAACACACGAGACACGATAAAAAAGACGAGGCCCGTAGCTTGACGTGTGTCGATGACACGAGAAGGGAACAAAACAGTCAACGAAAAAAAAGAAGAGACAGCCCGGCCTAGCTGGACGAAATGTTTTGCCTACAATCAGCACTTTCGACAGAGCTAGAAAAAACTGAATTTTCTTGCGCCTTTAGAGAAGGGCTGAAAAAGAGTCTCACGTGTTACTTTTAAACACATAAGCGTTCAATTTGATTCAAGTTCTCTTTATACATTCCTTGCGAATCATGTCATTTTAAATCATTTGACACGCTTCAAACGTATAAATTGTAACTTAATACGTTCAAATGGACTCAAAATGCGCTGAGAAATATGTACTGAGAGAAATTATCCGATAAAAAATTAACAAACGGATATTTCAAACCAAAATACTAATAAATTCTCTATCTGATCAGGAAACATCCGATGAGAAGTATCGGTTCATAACTTTTTGATTTTTTTTTACTTAATCGGATTATATCCTGATCGGATATAAAAATTAATCGGAATTTGACCGAAAAATCCGTTTGTTAATTTTTTATCGAATAATCCCTCTCCGTGTAAAAAGAGATTCAGCCAAAATAACATACTTGGATTTGCAGTACGAGGCCGGTCGTTGACACGAGACCGAGTCGTTGAGAAGCTCGTAAAAATGAGAAACGGACCGGTACTTGTTACGCAAAAATATTTCACGAGTAAAAATTGCCGGTAGAATGTTCGACACGCACGATTATCCGCGCTGCAGCCGTAAAATTCCGGCGGAAAAACTACAGGAGTACGTGTGCGCGTGATTTCGTTCTTTTTCATCTTCGACATCGTCGAAGGTTGTCGTCGTCGAAGGTTTTCCACCCTTTTGCGTACCCCTCCGCGGGTAAAGCCCGCGAGGCGTCGGGGGAACTAATCTTACGACGCCTCCCATTATTACCGCGAAATTCTTCGCGATGGCGAGCGTACCCCGGGCTACGACCTCTGTTCTACCCTTCGTGCTATTCTTCATCCCCCTGGAGCCTGACGAGCGCAACGTTAAACCGAGACGCCGCCGACATTGCCGCCGCAACCGGCAACGGGCAACGCTATCGCGTAAATCAAAGCCACTGCTATACCCCGCACAGCCACCAGCCGGTCCGAGATGCCGTAAAATGCAATTAAACCCTTCCTTCCTTAGCAACCCCTATTCGGCGTTTTTCATTTAGCGCGTTACGGAGCGCGCGATCGCTGGAGCGCGAGAGCCGCGCCGCGCTTCTCGCCCACGCTCTCGCACTACCGCCATTAATAAGACAAGAAAAAAGAACGAGAAGAAGCAGGAAAATACAATAAAGCCGCGCGAAAGAAGGGAAAAAGAAGATACAATGTCGGAGTTTGCACGTTCCGCGTCATCACGCATGGAGAAAAAAGTCATGAGAAAACAAAACAAGCGGATACACGGGGATGCTATTTCGAGCTCCGCGAGATCGACACCCTCGCTAAGACTACGGTACCGATGGGACAATAAATTAATTAGCAGGTCGATACGTCGCGATGGACGAATATCGTATTATGAAACGCGCGATACGTCGGGATGCGTATCTCCGCTTGGTCGATTGGCATTTTCTCATAAGAACGTCGCGTCGACTTCCGAGACTGCGCGAGTTCTTTCAGGGTTGATTTCAACGCCTGCGGGATGCAACGTCAACGGGAAAGTTTCGGGACTAACTCTGCACGCGCGAGTGACGCGCGTGAGACGCGGCACTCTTGGGAGTAAAAGAAGAAAAAATAAAAGACTAGACCAAGAGAAGGGTGCGAGAGCAGAACGGGAACAACGAGAGGGAGGGAGGGAGGAAGAGATAGAGAGAACTATACGTTGGTGTGGCGTGAAGCCGGCGACGTTTAAGGGCGAACACCGTGGTGGTCCGCGACTTTCCGCTCACGTTCGACCGACAATTCAATTGTCGCGGGACATTTGGACTGTTCGTCGAGTTTCCGGTTTCGTGTTCTTCGGAGCTTTTAACGACACTCTCCACGGGCCACCGGAACTACACGAGCCCATCAGCCCTCGCGTGCGCCCACGGATATGATCCAAAAACGGAGGGGTGGGTCAAAGTTATTATTTCGAAACGATCACTCATCCTCCGGCAAGGATGATAATCTTAACGTCCACAATTCACTATCGTTGAATTGAATATCGAATCGGTACGGAGATTCGCTCCGCAAGTGATCCCGCTCATCGATCATTACGAGCTGTGTCGGATTGTGACGTCAGAAGCGAGAGGTGAGGAGTTTTATGCGAATTTTTTCTCCGGGCACTGCACGTCGAAATAAATTTATCGCTCCGCGCACCATCACGGTACGCGCTCTTGTGCAAATGGTGTAGATCGGTGAAATATACCAAAAATCACACTGCAGAGCCAAGTGTATTATTTTGGCTGAATCTCTTTTTGCACATTTCTTATCGTCCCAAGCTACGTAAATATATTATTAGTATCCACACAGATCAAGTATTTCTTGTTCATTAAATATTTTTTCTCTCAATTGGATGTTATATATGGATATTATAAGCGCGTACTGCCTAATATAGTCTGAGATCTGTATAACCTAATATAGTCTCGATCTGTCATCACGTTTCTCGAGAATAACGCGCGAGTCGATAATAAATAAACATTCACCGACGAACGACGAGTGGATCTATATCGTCCGATTTTATAAAGTGTAATTCTATATGTTAATATAATTATTATAAATTCATATAGTATTTCATAAATATTTCATAAAGACGAATATTTCATAAAGAAATTCATAAAGTATACAAGGCACGCCATACGGTGTTTCGTTCATCGAAATTGTGCTTTCTTCAATCGCTTTCTCAAGACATCACATTATTTTTTGCAAAATATACATATATATGTTTTCGCAATAAACAGGAAGTGAATGACAATGTCCTCAAAGAACTTGTCACTTCTCAAGTGTTTTTTACTAAACTAACAATTTTACCAAACTACACTAAGAAAAAAATATCTAAGATATTTGATATCTAAATATCTAAAATATCAAAGAAGTAAAATATGTATATGTTGAGGACGTATTTACTTATAATATACTTATATGACATTTTTAAAAAATATATACATTTTCTTCAATCTGCTTTTTCAAAGCAACTATTTATTCTATTTAAATAAATTTAAAATTAATATATAATATAAAATGTTATTAATATTTACCGAGTAAATATTTCTTATTTTTTAGATATTTTTTCTGCAGTGTAGATACTACAAGCGCGTGTTGCCGCGCACTACTAATTTCTTGTCAGAAATCAATGCAATTTATACACAAGTATGCACTACAATATATGACGCTTTCTAAGCGTCTGAATTGTACGCTCACCAACACATCCAGCTGTCCAGGTATACCGATGAAATTTCAACTGCTTCGCTCCGCGTCCATACATCTTAGTGTGCAGCTTCCTTAGCATTCAATTTCCTCGATATCCGGTCTCTTCAGCACTCATAATGCATTTCCTCTTCTTTACAATCCACTTCTCTCTTTATCTTTTCTTATTCTTTTCTTATTTGTGATAGGATTTAAGAATTCAGAAAAGAAAGAGTAATAAGAGGAACACATAATTATCGTATTAAGTGCGATAAATATGTAGCAAATTTTAACATTTCCAAAATGTATACGCGAGACGCGACTCGTGCGTAAACAATCGCGAATCGAAAATTACTATGTCTTGAAACAAACGTCGATAACAAAAAAAAAAAGGAAAATATTTTGATTCGTACATGATAATATAAATTCAAAGAAAAACGTATTTCTCGATGTGTAAAGATTCTAACTTCTAATATAAACAAATTTAAATATCAAATTTCGCAGTAATTTTGATTAAAATCACATTCTTATTCATGTCATGTACGACAAATTTAAAAAATCGATAACCATAATAATTGAAAAATTTATCAATCACAAATTAAATATATAATCGCAAATGTCACATGCAGTGACACAATTCTGATATGCATTGTGTGCTGCTCGAAACATCTAAGAAGTCATATTGACTTCTTATTCAATTAAATAATTTAATATCTTGATTTAAATATGATAAAAGCTAAAGTACAATTATTTATATTATATAATTATATATGTTACGTACACTCTGAAGATTAAAAGCAAATGTATCGGAGAAAGAAATATGCATTAAATATTTAAAGATTCTATTGTGTAATACAGTTATTCAAGAATGCGATCTGATAATTTCAAGCAGCACGAAAACTACAAATAAATTGCATTGATTTCCTAGAGATTTTAACAAACAACCATCACCTGAAAACTTTCTTTCTTTGACTCACCAAAATATCATAGACTTAGATCCAGTCATGTTCAGCTACAGGTCTAGAACAAAAAATAGTTTCGTTGATTAGATTGAAACGTTTGGTTAAGTTAGATTAAGCTTTACATTAATGCAAAAGTGTTAACACTTTATCGTAATTCGACGTAAAGAATCAAGAAGACGCATGTAAAAAATCAGTAAACTTTACCTTCAAGCCGAATCTGCTTAGCCCAAACTGAATCCTCCGGTAAGACAGCCGTATCCGTCGACACAAAATCCCAAGGCCCGCACTCGTCGTGTGTTCATAAGCTCCACTAGATCTGTAAAGCAAAAGGCAAGTTTCCTTATTAATATTGTGACTAGATGCTCGCCGCATCAAGAATACAGAGGCTCGAGATTATAAACTAACCTCTCAAACCTAACTAAAACGCAAAGCGCTGATTAACTTCAAAATAAATACTGCTACTGTTCACAAACTAGCAAATACGACGTATAACGCATAATATAATATGTAGCAAGCACGTATTATAGTATGATAAGTAATCATACTATAGTATGATTATATAGTATATAATAAAATGATCATCATATACTTTTGAACAGTCCCGAAAAGTCGAGAATTATCCGGCACTTCTTACTCCGGTCGCGCTCGCGTTAGAGACTGTTATTATCGCACGCTTACGTATCGACGTGTGTATTGTTGTCAAGGGCGCGCGACCGGCGAGAATTTTATAAACAGTCATCCTGTTATTTATTCATACATTTCACACACACATACTTTCTATACTATATATGCGACCTATTATACGCTTCAAATGTTTTAAAACGCTGTGTTTACCGACCATAGCTTTTCTATCATCTCGGGCGCTTCGAAGTGTTCGCGGCGACTAATGGTTCGTATCTTATAATAATCATAATATTATCCTATAATATTTTATTCCCTTTAGCATCCCAGCTGTCGAAATACGTTTTATCCGCGATTGGCGATACCGAATACGACGATTACGTCGAGATAGTCAATAAACATTACAAAAAAGGTACGAGAACTTTGCGAGTTCCTGCAACGATATGCTCTACACCCCTTTTTCTCTCTCTTTTTTTCCTAACAGACCGTTATTCAGCGTCGTGATATATCTCTCTGTTATCATTTCACCCTTTCTTTCGCCTTTAACTATCGCCGTGCGTTCCTAGCTATCGACCAATAAATCTAACGATCGTCCGAATCCGTTGCTATTTGAACACGGTAACGGCCATAACGAGTACGAGAGAGACCGACGCGATACGTCGCGACCAGCACCAGTGCCACCAGTGTATGGACCAGCACCAGTGCCGAAAATAGGACAATTGCTCGCTAAAAATGCACTTACCATGCACTTATCTACGTGATCGCACATCGCTATCCTAGACGCTCCTGACATTTGTTTTCGCACGAGATTCAGTTTCGGCAGACAAAAGGCGCATAAAATGCGGAGGGATATGTCGATCGATGCGTCAATGGCGACCGCTCAAAACAAAAAGATCGAAGATACGCGCGCAGTTATGCAGAACACGGCCGCGCCGCAAAGAGTCGTAAAGGCCCATCTACATAAGCCACAACACACAAAACTCAGTTCGCAATCGCGCACACATCCAACTTCAACTTTCTACGTTTTCTCTGCAAACACAGAGAAAATGTAAAAAGTTGAAGTTGGATGTGTGCGCGATTGCGAACTGCATTTTGCGTGTTGCAGTCTATGTACACAAGCCTTTAGCCAATCAACACAAGCCGCGGTAGCTAATCAAACGCATGTCCATAGCAGGTCGCTTATTGGCGAACGCTTTACCATACAATAGATCGATCTCAATAAATACTCGATCAAGGGTGGCATCTAATTGAACACAGCACAATCGCACACAGAAGTGTAATTTTGTGTGTTAATTATTATAAATTCATAACTTTATATAATACTTCATAAATGTTTCGTGAAGATAAATATTTCATAAAGAAATTCACAAAGTATACAATGCATTCTGCATGGTTCATGCAATTTTGTTCACCAAAATTGTGCCTTGTTCAACATCGTTTTCTCAAAACATCGCATAATTTTTCACAAAATATACATATATATGTTTTCGCAATAAACAGGAAACGAATGACAAAGAGCTCATCACTTCTCAAGTGTTTTTTTTTTTTACTAAACTAACATTTTTACAAAACTATTGAGAAAAATATCAAAGAAGTAAAATATGTATTCAATGAGAACGTATTTATACTAGTATATATAAAATATTTTTCACAAAAAAAATTTGTTTTCTTCAAAACATGCTCTTTTATTAAAGCAACTTTTTATTCTATTTAAATAAAAGAATTTAAAATTATAATATAAAATGTTATTAATATTTACCGAATATTTTTTTATTTTTTAGATATTTTTTTCTGCAGTATAGATAATACAAACGTGTGCTGCCGCGTACTATTGATTACTATTTATCGTCAGAAATCAATGTAATTTATACACAAGCATACACTACAATATATGACGCTTTCTGAGCGTCTGAATTGTATGCTCACCAACACATCCAGCTCTGTCCAGGTATATGAATTTCCAACTGCTTCGCTCCACGTCCATACGTCTAATGTGTAGCCTCCTTAGCCTTCAATTTCCTCAATATCCTGTCTCTTCAGCACTTATGATGCACTTTCTCTTCTTTACAATTCTCTTCTTTTCTCTTTTTTATCTTTTTTTACTTTTCTTATTTGTAATAGAATTTGAAAATGCTGAAAAGAAAGAGTGGCAAGGGAAACACATGATTATCGTATTATGTGCGATAAATATGTAGCAAATTTTAACATTTCCAAAATGTATACACGAGACGCGACTCGTGTGTAATCGCGAATCGAAAATTACTATGCCTTGACACAAGCATCAATAACATAAAAAAAAGGAAAATATTTTGTTTCGTATATGATAATATAGATTCAAAGAGAAATGTATTTCTCGATACGTAAAGTCGATACGTAAATTCTAACTTGTAAACAAATGTAAATATCAAATTTCACAGTAATTTTGATTACATTCTTACTCATGTCATGTACGACAAATTTAGAAAATTGATAACCGTAATAACTGAAAAATATACCAACACAAACGAAATATATAATCGCAAATGTCGCATGCAGTGGCGCAATTTTGATACGTATTGTGTGCTCGAAACATTTAAGAAGTCATACTGACTGATAATTCAATTAAATAATTCAATATCTTGCTTTAAATATGATAAAAAGCTAAAGTACAATTATTTATATTATATAATTATATATGTTGCATACACTCTAAAGATTAGGAGTAAATATATCGGAAAAAGAAGTATGTATTGAATATTTAAAGATTCTATTATGTAATAGTTATTCAAGAATGCAATCTGATAATTTCGAGCAGTACGTAAACTACAAGTAAATTGCACTGATTTCCTAAAGATTCTAACAGATTACCATCACTTGGAGACTTTCTTTCTTTCCCTGACTCACCAAGATATCATAGGCACAGATCCAGTTACATTCAGCTACAGATCTAGAACAAAAAATAGTTTCGTTGATTAGATTGAAACATTTGGTTAAATTAAGTTTTGATGCGAAAGTGTTAACACTTTACGTCGTAATTCGACATAAAGAATTAAGAAGAAGCTTATAAAAGATCAGTAAACTTCACCTTCAAGCCGACTCCGCTTAGCCCAAACTGAATCCTCCAGTAAGATATCCGTGTCCGTCAACACAAAATCTCAAAGTCCGCATTCGTTGTATAGTCACAAGCTTCACTATGTTTGTATCAAAAGGCAAGTTTTTTTATTAATATTGTGACAATAAATACTCGCCATCAAGAATACGGAGGTCGAGATTGTAAACTAAGTTCTCAAACCTTACTAAAACACAAAGCGCTAATTCACCGGATGCTGCTACTATTCACACACTAGCGAATAGACGTATACGCGTAATATAATACGTAGCAAGCACGTACATGCACTTTTGAACAGTCTTGAAAAGTCGCACGAAGCCTCTTATCCCGGTCGTGCTCGTATTAAACACGGTTATGATAGCAACACGCTTATGTACTGACGTGTGTATTGTTGTCAAGCGCGCGACTCACTATATAAACAAGACTATATAGCGAGACGCACTATATAAACTGCCGTACTGTTATTTATTTCAAACAGACATACTTTCTATATTATGAACCCAACCTATTACACGTTTCAAATGCTTTGAAGCGCTGTATGGTTCAGCTATAGCTTTTCTATCATCTCGGGCGCTTCGAAGTGTTTACAGCGATTTAAGGATCGTATCTTATAATAATCATATTATCCTACAGTATTTTATTCACTCTAACATTCCGGCTAAAATACGTTTTTTCCGCGACGATAACTCGCGATACCAAGTACTATACGACGTCAAGATAGTCAATAAACATTACAAGGAACGAGAACTTTGCGAGTTCCTGCAACGATACGCTCTACACTCTTCTTTCTCTTTCTCTCTAACAGACCGATATTCGACGTCGTGATATATATTTCTGTTATTATTTCACCCTTCCCTTTGCCTCTAATTATCTCCCCGCGCGTTCCTAGCTATCGATCAATAAATCCGATGACATCCGAATCCATTGCTATTTGAACGCGGGAACGGCCATAACAAGTGCGAGAGAGATCGACGCGATACGTCGCGACGAGTACCAGTGTTTGCCGAAAATAGGACAATTATTCGCTAAAAATGCACTTACGATACGTCTATGTGTTCGCACATCGCTACCTTAGATGCTCCTGACATTTGTTTCCACAGGAGACTCAGTTTCGGCAGACAAAAGGCGCGTAAAATGTGGAGGGATGCTTTGATCGATGCGTCAATGGTGGCCGCCCGAAGCAAAAAGATCGAAGATGCGCGCACTGTTACGCAAAACGCGGGAGCGCTTGCCGCGCCGCAGGGGGCCGCGACGCGGTAGCCAATCAGACGCATTCTCATAGCAGCTAGCATACTGAAGGACGCTTTATTATACGATAGATCGATCTCGATAAGTACTAGATGAGGGGAGGCACCTAATTGGACACAGCACGATCGCACACAGAGTATGATTTGTTGGACTTAGTAATTTACCAGATAAATCTTCGAAGCGGTTGGTTGTGCTGTAATCAATCGGGAGCCTTCCCGCGATAAGTACTAAGCACTAGAACTTTTTATGCAGTCGCACCCCTTTCTAGTTACGCGTTTCTCTTACAATTGTCATGTTTATTCAATCAATGGCTGACAGTTCGATATGGTTCCGCGATGACACAGATTTATCGCGCAATACTCCTTGACATTCACGCACATATACGACATTCAGATCGGGATCATCACGTCGTCCTTTTGACGTCGAGGAAAACATCGCCTTCGATCTGTCAATGGTAAGACAACCGTATATATAATTGCGTCTGTATCGATGGAGAACCGCTCCGACCGTCAAGCTTGACGCGGGTTTGAACGTTCAAATGAGAAAAATTAGTCGCGTCCTTCCATCGTTCATCGGCTCGAGGAGCAGACGAGGCTCGCGCATGTAATATCCACGAGCGTGCAGCCGCGATCGAGCGTTTAATCAGACGAACGCATCGTCAGATGCACGGAAGGTGCGAGAACGATAGCCCCAACGATAGGCAATAAAAATCGCGCGTATCCACGAGCGATTTACGACTATCTCGCGGCCAGCATCAAGAATTCTTACACCTAAATAATTTAATCCGTCCGGCTGCGCGTTGTCTACGAATCCAGGTGTGCTCGGATGTAATGTAATAATCGCGTGATCGCGCTCAGTAAGATTCCATCACCGGCTTTAATCGCATAATCGATAGAGCGCTCGTCGCTTTGAAAAATATATATCCCCGCCTCGGAGAATCCGCGGGCACGCTCGCGCGATCCGTAATTTTCCTGCAATTTTCACTCGCAATCTAAATCGCAAAGTGCTCGCGCTAGGGCGAGAAGCGTCGCAACAGCCGCGAAGGTCGACGAAACTGATCGCCTCTCTCGTTCAATATCCGCGTTCGTATTTTTCACAGAGCCCATAGAACGCGTATACGCGCGAACGTAGTCGGACGAACAAAAAGACAGCGGCACAATCGACGTTACGTGACTGTATTTTCCGGTAATAAATTATACGATTTCCCCAGGCAGATATCTTCCACATCGATCTAGACGATCTTACCGGAGGAAGGCGAGTTGAACGCGCGCGGCGTTTAATTTGTCTATTCGTCGGGTCGTGAAGATATCTGGGTACCCTCCAACCAACTGAATCGCTCCAGCGAGTCGACCAACAAACGCTAAGGTACACGGGGAGAATGTTATGGTAAGGATTACTGCAGAATCTTGTAAGCGAGGACAATTTGACATTCTGCATTAATTTACTATCCTCTTACTTTTCATATGTGCTTTTCTAGGAACTGAAATGTGCTCCTAAAAAATTCACTATGTTTCTACTCAAGTTTACTGTATTCCTTAGCAAGAGATAGACTTCACTGACGGTGTATTTTCCTGCACTACTACACTGAGAAAAAATATCCAAAAGAAGTGAGTAATACTTATTCTATTTTATACTAATAATATATCTATTTGTACTAATTTATAAGATATTTTGCAAATAAGAAAATACACATTTCCTTAAGACCCTAGCTTTTCATGAAAATAACTTCTTATTCTATATTTAAATAAAAAAATGTATATATTTATAAATAAATATATCCCCAACCAAATAAATATATATTTCTTTACTTTTCAGATATTTTTAATAGCAAGAGATAGACTTCACTGACGGTGAAGAGATAGACTTCACTTCATCTTCCTGCACTGCTATACTGAGAAAAATATCTAAGAAGTAAGTAATATACTCACAATGTTATATGAACAACATATTTACTTGTACTAATATATAAAATATTTTGCAAATAAGAAAATATTTTTTTAAAACTCTAACTTTCATAAAAGTAACTTATTCTATATTTAAATAAGAGAATTTATAGATTTATAAGTAAATATGTTATTTGTACCAAATAAATATTTTTTACTTTTCAGATATTTTTAATAGAAACGTAACAAAAAATTTATATAATTAAGAAAAATTTATATGTACAAAAATTACAGCATTCTTCCTGTGCACCCTCAAAAAAAGGCATAGTGATGACACCTATAAAGATGGTAACTATACGAGTTTTGTATATAGAATTAATACATATAGTTTAATAAATGATTTTGTAATTATTGCAACTAAAACTTCCGTTGCAATAACTACAAAAATAATCGTTTAAAAATTAGATATACATTACTATTCTACGTACAAAACTTGTATAGTTATCGTCTACATAGCTGCCACCACCACGTTCTTCTCTGAGAGAGAATTCGCAGATCTTGGCAGAAAAGCAGAAAGGCAGAAACCAATCACAGAACTCACGCTGGTGGTCAGTTGGATGGGTAATCGACAATTTCTGCTTTTCTACCAGCGCGAGTTCTGATTGGCTTCTACCTCTCTGTTTTTCTACCAAGGTGTGAATTCTCTGAGTTTGAGAGAAACGTCGAGACGAAAAAGAGAGAATGGCCGCGGACTTTCTTCTCGACGCGGGCTCGTTAAGATTCGCGAATGCCCCGGCCAAATCTTGTTTCGCTTCCGCAACGAGAAAGCGGCCACCACCCCCTCGAACTCACCCATCCTCCCACCGCTCGCGGCACGTACTTACATTAAGTTCGACCGGTAATGCATCTCGATGCGGCTGCACGCGCTACACCCCCAGACCATCGAATACCGGTTGCCCCGAAAGTTAGCGAGTAGTTTCAGCGTCGACGGAGACGAGAGGAGGAGTAGACGACCGCTCGGTATTGCTAGGAGGCGGCGGCGCGCGCGAGCAAGCGAGCACGGTGCCGACAAGAGGCAGCAAACAATTTCGCACCCACTCACCGTCGTCAGCCTAGCACAGTGGAAGGGAAACTATCTCGGCCGATCTTAGGGGAACCTGTTTCGCCAAAATGTTCAAGACGATGATCGTGCGCGCGCGCGCGCGCTGCCGCGTCTATCAGTCGACGAGCGAAAGACAGCGATAAGCGACGTGCGAAGGAGCCCCGTGTTTACCCGCTCTGTGTGTGAGTCCGCATAAATTCATTAGTATTATACGTGTACATCGGCGCCTCTTGGCGACAAGTCGCTGCTACCCTCCGTGGTAGGCATGATATTGGCTGCGATACGCTGACGGCCAATGATGTTCCGCCACGCGAGTTCTCGAGTCGAAATTTTAGTCCTACTTGGAACCTTCCAACATTTATGAAGGATCAATATATGTGTTCCATGTATACATATGGGAGCTAAAGTCCCACTTAGCGTCTGTAAGTGGCAAAGAACGTACAAAATTTATAGGTTTTAAAGGTCTCCCGGTAAAGCTAATAAGTTAAATAGAATCAACAGAGATTGATATAGGTTTCAAAATATAAAAATAGTTCACCCTTTTGTCATTAATTTTTATTTTATTTAACTCTTATTTATTTTATTTTTTATTTTATTTAACTCTTTCACTACCAACGGTGTTCAAAATACCAAAGAAACGGTTTATTCAGTTTGAATTTATTCAGTTGAATAAGGTTATTATTAATGGAAAACACATTGTGTTCCATTAGTAGGGTTAAATAAAATACTAAAGTCGAAAGTAGAGTCAACATTTCGACTCGTATTATTTTTTTTCGAATTTAATTAGTGCGGAAAAACACGCGGCAATCAGCGTGGAATCGATAATAAAAAGTATACAGAGAAAAATAAGCAAGCACAAGAAAGTGAGCGCTTAATTCTTAGGAGTATGTACCGAGAGTGCCACGAGTCTCCAACTTTCTTTCGGAAGTGTTTCTGTCTTTAACTCTAGAATACATAAAGGGTCTTTGAAAGGTCGCGAAACCTTGAGCCTATTACTCGATGATGCACCGCTCCAACTCGTCAAAATTATTTCCCCGTTATTTGAGTATCCTTTGAGTATCCTTCAAACTTCCGTCAGAAAACACGTGCGTTCTAAAGTTAGCAAATTGCA